CTTTTAGGATGTCTTCCTTCTAAAGGGGGGAAACTAAAACAGAAGCCTTTGCCATTGGCCTCGTGTTTCCCCTTTTTCCAGGCATGCGCCCAAACGAAGCTACGAGAGAGCGGTTTTGGGGGGTCCCGTTGAGAGAAAGCCGACCTCTCCCGTTCGAAGGGTCCATGTAGTCAAAATCCGATGCGGGTCCTGGTCCTGTCTCCAACAAATCAGGAATCCTTATGATGGTCCATGTATGATGGTCCATGGAAATTCCTCTTGTTGTAGGTCCCATGTGATCCACCTCTCTTGGAAATATGGGCTGTCCAAAATTGAATCGGACACGGGAAAGGAAATAACTTGGCCAAACTCTGGGATACACCAAAGATCATCTTTTCAGATGCTTCGCAGTCAGTCTACCCTGAAATATCGATTCAGAAAAAGGAGAAAAAACAAACAGAAGCTTGCATACATGCTTCTGCATCTGAGCCTGCATCTGTGCTACGTGCACAAAACACCGAGAAAACCCGAAACACAGAAAACCACAAAACAACCCGAGAAACCGGAGCAAAAACAAACAACACTTAGAGAGTCTTCTCCGAAAGGGCCAAAGAGTTCGGAATGATTTTGTGTGTGATTTGTTTTGCGTTGCTGTGTTCTCTTCTCATCCTGCCTGAAGTCTCCGCTGAACATCCTCCTTGCCCAATGAGGCTGTCGGTTGTTAATACGTGCATGCTCCAGCGTTGTGCTTGTAGGGTCTCTCAGCTAGCTGTGCACTATACTCTTGTGAGGCCTTTCCTATGGATGTTTGTTCAAATGATAATTGAGTTGTAAGTTCCTGTTTAGCAAAGTCTTCTATATGATTCTTAAATTCAAAATACAATGTCCTATCGGATTGGATGAAACACGTTCCCTATGCAAATCTATATCATGTTAAAATTATGTGCAACTTAAGATCATTGAATGAAGACAGAACGTAATTGGCATGTCTACGTTAAATTGGATTTCAGTTAAGAGATCCTTCTCCAAATGATGCTTAATTAAGCACCAAATTGAATGTAAATATGCCTTTAAAAGCAAGTACATAAATTATGTTTTCTGTTTCAAATTAGGATTCTGATGGAATCATCTTCCAAGTATAGTTTCATTGAACAGCACAGCGGGAAACTTAGATAGTTAGACGTATCATTCTACTTTAACTTTCAATTGTGAAGGAATGTCCGTCTGGATTCTAGGATAAGACAAACATTCTAGTTAACATATGTCTTAACTAACTGTTGTTGAAAGGGTGATTGATGTTCTAATTGATTTGGATTGGACGGGAATTCCAATGTAAGTTCAATATGCATGAATCATATTATCATCTAAGATAGAATTTCGAATTGGACTAGTTCCTTATTCAATTCTAAGTGAAGTTTCTAATGTTGTTCCTTGTTGAACTCTATTAGAATTCCAACAAAAGCTCTCCTTTTTGAAACGAGCACCCATAGATATCTAGTTAACAACAAACACATGTCCATTTAATAACATGATAATATCTGATATCCTTATTCTAATTCAAATGGGATGTCCTTGACAAGTAGAATTCTAATTGACATTCATGCAGAAATTGAGTAGAATAAGCCAAACAAAGACATCAGAGGTGCTAAGAATCGTGTTTTACCATGCTTTACCTAGTCCCCAGAACAACCGTGCTCAGACAACACTGCAAAACACAGTGTTCTCTGGCGCTTTCCGTACTAATTTGACATACGGCCGATCGCTTAAACAAACGGAGGAGACCCCAACTTGTCAGATGCTTCATTTTCAGTCTAGTTTTAAACACATACAAGATGGAGCAAAACCCAGATAAGCAAAGCATCCCTGGCTGAGCTCTTGGCGGCTCCAAGGGCTCCAGTGACACATTCTTCAGCGGCGTGGGCAGGCGGCTGGACGTCTTCGCTCGGGACTCGGAGATCGATCGGCGCTGGCCGTTGAGGGTCGCTTGGAACCTCCTTTGGGTCGGGGGTTTGTTTGGTACCAAGGGACCAAGCTAGGCTGTTCAAAATGGGGGGTTGGCCAATCCTAATCCATCCTTATAGCAAAACCACTTTCTCCTTGCGTATCCCCAGGTAAGGATTAAGGATTACCTTTGAACAGCCCAGCCAGGGGACCAAGGGACCAAGGGACCCTCTGTCACTGTAGGTAACGCTTCGTTTTGGTCCTTTTCACCTGACCCATTGATGCAGGGAAACAAAGCTGTGAGAAAAAAGAGAGAGCCTGGAAGTACAAGTCAATTTCGGGAGCCTATCTTCCTGTACCTTTCCACAACCACAAGTCGCATCCCATTCGCTGGCCAGGCACTAAACTTCCCAACTGTTTGAAGCCATTTTCTGCGAAGCGTCGACGCAAACCTCCGCAAGACACTGCAACTCCGAGAGTATGCTACAAGAACCTCTGGGGAAAAGTGCCAACCAAGCTCGCGTATTCACGCCGAAAACGAAAAAAAAAGTCCTTCGAACCCAAGCCCCGCGACTCGGCAAAAACTTCTTTCCCGAGTCCCCACGCCCCGGGCCGGGAGCTCATTGCGGTAGAACGGATATCGAGGTATTCCACTGATTGCCCGGATTGAGCTGCGAAACTGAAGCATCTGTTTCGGATCGCTTTGTTTGAATGATGTACCCCCAAAGGTTTAATTTGGAGCAGGGCCCTTGCAGAAAATGGCGCTGGATATTGACCGTTGCCATCTGGAACCCCTCAAATGGGGTGTTTGCTCCTCCTTGGTTTCCCTGCAAGACTACGAAAAACAAAACCCGTCTCCAAACAATGGCCCCGAACTGAAGAAGACTTGAACACGCAAATTGAAGAGTTCAACACGCGTTTCACAACTTTGGTGTTCAAGACCATGTAAGTAGGTTCTAACCAAGGGTACAAGGGGATTAACCCCAGTTACCCCAGTTGCCTGCATGTTTAGAACCGGCCCTCCTTCCCCTTTGAGCCAAAGCACAAGCATGCTGATCACCGACCATGGTACGCAAATGTTTCGCTCGCATGAGTGCATGGGCGACAGTGGGGATTCTCAACATGTTGGACCACTTTCAATTGGCAATCAAAGGTCAAACCACTGTTTTAGGGGATGATGCCCGAGCCGCCAACAAATATGAGAAAAACAACAACTCATTGAGCCGGGTAACGACCGCTATTTGCACGACTTTCTGGATGTGTGTTTTTCTGCATGGCCGAAAAGGAACGCACACAGTCTGAGACAGTCGCATTCGCGGATTCGCGGATTCGCTGCTGGATTCGCGGCTGCGGGTTCCATCGCCCACTCGGACCATCACCAGAGATGTCCGAGCAAACATTTCAAACATTTCCACCGGCCCGACGAAAGTCTCGGGTCCTGCAGCGAAGGTCTGCTTGGAACCAAATTTGAGTAACCAAGCCCAAAAAAGAAGAGGACAAATTTCCAGCATCGCCTCACATGGAAGCTGGCAATTGGGGAATTTGGAAGACTTCCTTTGGGGAAGCCGCACTGTCTGCTTCCATTGGGACGGTTGTGACTGGGTGAGCTCGGCCGATTAAGCAAGCCCTGAATTCCATCAGACCTTGGCAGGCGCTGCCTCATGGACCTTCCAGATGTCAAGGTGCTTCAACAAAAAAAGATTCCGCCGCTATTGCGGACGCCCCGAAGACACCTCCGACCAGAAAGCACCGAAACATCGGCTTCTCTTAGCGAAGCATCCATCTTGAGGCGAGGCAAATTCCGGTTCACATCGCTGGGGTGACCCGCTGAACGGTGAAACGGGCTGAGCCAAGATTCGGGCTCTGATCACTTCGCCCCGCCGCCCGCCGGCGCGAAGTTGAGAGGCGGGCAAAAGGGAACGCAGGGTGGCCGAGCCGCGAGGTGAACCCACAAAATCGGGGAATTGCCCTATGGTCGTCCAAAGCAAGCGATGTGCAAAGAGCGCCCTGATCAAAGCTCATGGGATCGCGATAAGCATCCGGTTCAGCTTCAAGCTGCTTCGGCTTACGCTCGGATTTACGAGGTTCAACATCCTAACAAGTGGAGATCCATCGTGGGGTTCCTTGAAGGAGACGCGCATCCAAAAACCAACCTGCTTTACCGGAGCCGGTGAAGCAAAGTGCGGAAGTTTCAAGGTGCAAGAGCAATTGCTTGGAGCGCGCTTCTTTTCCCTTCCCTCTCTCTGTCTCATGTCTCTAGTGTCGTCTTTCCCATTTTGCTGTATCATGTGTCTTTGGCTTTCTCTCTCTCTCTCTCTCTCTCTCGCCCGCCATCTCTTCTTCCTTCTAGTTATCTTACTTTTTCTCGGTCCTTCTTGTTTGTAGTTCTTCATTGTGTATGTTATTCTTTCTTGTTGGTCCTCCCTCTTTCTTCTTGCGTCTTTCTTCCTTCCTCCTCCTTCTCCTCCTTCTCCTCCTTCACTTCCTCCTTCACTTCCTCCTTCACTTTCTCTTTCTCTTTCTCTTTCTCTGTCTCTGCCTCTGCCTCTGCCTCTGTCTGTGCCGCTATCTCTGTATCTGTCTCCCCCTCTCTCTCTCTCTCTACCCCACGAACCTGAAAAGCGCACAACAGTAACGAGCGATTGAACGGTCGAACCTCAAGAATCCGCAGAGAGTTCCAAGAGCAAACTGGAAACGTCACAAAGCACCATTTTATGTTAAAGGGGCGAGCCAATCAAAGTGAGCAGAGGGTTCACCGATTGATGTCTGCGCAAGCTGAAGAGGGCAAAACCCAATTTGTGAAGGTCGGCCGCACCAAAGTCGCAGGTTCACCAGAGTCCAAGACCACTCCGAGTCCGCTCTGAGCATGGTCTGATCCCACATCGTGAGGTGGTCGAAATCATCATTTGTTCAAGCTTTTCACGTACAACGCACGTTTTTTTGTTTTTTTTTTCCTTTTTTTATCATGCACATATATTCATGCACACATATTTCAAATAAAAGCGCAGGTCCTTCTAAACTTCCTTTGAAAAGGGGATTCTCTAAACTAGCTGGCAGTGAGTTTTTGACGGCCCAAATGTATCCTTTAAGCAACCCTGTCACGCGGCCTCGGAGGAACTTCTCATACGCGTGCCCAGAGTCCCAGGGGGGCTGTCGGACGAGAGCTACGTGAACTGCTCTCGCCCTAAAGGGGTCAAACCTGGGGAGCCAAGTGCTCACTGGAGGAAAACGACGCGAAAGGGAAGCCCTGAGCGCGAAATCAGTCGCCGATGAAGGAACCCCCGCAAGATCCAAAGTGAGTTGAGGCCATGGACACTCTGCGCTCAAACTGCATGACATCTTCCAGGGGCGGTGGAAAGTGCAACTGTTTTTTGGGGCGCCAGGTGGATCCAGCTAGCCTTCGGCAGATAAAGGATTTCTACTCCTACAACTGGGTGCCTGGAACTGGGCCCACTGCAACTCAGCAACCTGAGGAATCGCAAGATATAGTTACCGTCAAGGGCGAGCTCACTTTGTCCGCGCTCGCCAGCAAGGCAAACTAGAGGGAACCCAGGATTCAAGCAACCCCTGCTTGGTGGCATGTCCCATTTTCCATGGCATCCTGCACTTTGGGAAACCAGTCCCAAGTCCACGTGAGCCGATAGGTTTGATCCGGGTCACCCTTCATTGGTTCTCAAAATGGCGGACCGCCTTTGGTCTGGGAAAACACGACTTAAAGGGGTCAATTATTTTGAGAAACACTTATTGGTTGACGTTGGAAGGGGAGCAAAAATTTAATTGTTAGCAGCTAAGTGGGGATTTCCCACTAAACCACAATAAGCAAAATGTAAAATGTTTCCCAACAACAACCATGACTTGGTAGGCCCTCCCAGTTGACACTTGAACAAAGACTCGGCAAAGAAAGCAGAAGAAAGAACAGGGGAAACAACTCCAAGCTCAAGAACTCATGTGTGCCATGGCCGAACTCCTGATGCGGGGCACAAGATGGCTCCCGTCCCTAACCCTTACAATGATGATTTAAACAGCCTAAGGGGCTCGCAACCGACCCTAAGCCCCCCCCCCCCCCGAATGGGTGTTTGATCATGCTCTTGGCACGCACCATCAAGCCACGGCAAAGGAGCCAGGTATTTCTCATTGGCGTCCAACTCGCTGAGTGCACAACTCACCAAGCAGCCAGGCAACAGAAGGGGGCTTGCTCGGAGCTGTGCAACTGGCCTCGTGTTCCTGTTGCAAGAGGCTCAAGGACCGCGTCAAAGCTATTCACTAGTCGGCCGGAGTTCAAGTGCCCGCCTCAATAGGAAGCCACTCGCAGGGTCAGCCTCAGTTTATGCCGAATGCACATAGGTTTGAACCGACCTGGCAAAAGACATCACCCAAAGGATCAACCGGGCCCTGAACAATCCATCCGTTTTAGGCAACCAAAGCCTGCCATTGAAGTTCCCCCTTCAACGCATGGTCCAAAGATGCTCAGCCAATACTCCATCGCGGGTGCTGGGGTGCAAGCAGTGGGGGCGGTGGTTCGGATTTCCCTTGCGGGAATTAGAAACTCTTGGGTTATTTAGAACCCGGCTGGGTGAGAAAGCGAGATGCCAACCTATTCTCACCCCTGCTTGTGTATACGTCTTGAAACAAGCTGAATCCCACAAGGGGGGCGATCTTCCAAAGAAACCGACAGGAAGCTACATGCGGCCGCGTTAAGTCACATCAATGCGCGTAAAGTCACACCACTGCATGGCCACGCGCGCGCACACGCGAAGTCACATCGGCTCGCAAGAAGTCACATCATGCATCATGATGTTCATTGAAATCCCCCTGGCCACGCGCTTCCACAGCATACGCCGCGCTTTGCCGCAAACCTAGCCGTTTGCATCTCACGCCTAGGTCAAAGTGGTTTTTTCAGCTAACATCCAGCGAACAATTGATGACGTTTCATGTGCTTCCCGGCCACGCCAGTCTGGTCATCAAGCTTCGTGGGGCCGAATGTCAAGCCCATTGAATTCAGAGGGGAAACCAAAAGAAAGCTCGTTCTGAGAAACGCCCATTTCCAACAACTGGGTTTTTGTCTTCTTTGTTTTTCCGTATCCATACCCTCCAATTGCTGTTCAAAAGAGGAAGAAAAAAGGTTGGGAGCTGGAAAGGGTTGATTCTTCTTGACATGTCGGCCATACTCAGCCCCCATCACCGCAGCGTGCTGGATGTCCTGTGCAAGGCGATCTCGGCTTGCAAACCTGCCAATAATAAAAGGAGATCCTGCACGCACTTGCAGGGTGAACAGGCCCCTGCTGTGGATGGACAAAATCCTGTTCTATATTTTAGTTACCCCAATATTCATTGGGATCAGCCATCCCAGCTGGTGCCGCATTTTGTCCATCCACAGTAATGATCAATCATGAATCCGGGGTGAACAATAGTTGAAGCAAGGAGTGGGCAAGGAGTGACAAGCGAACGCGGGCGGGAGCCCCCCTCCATTGCGACTCTTGTCATGGCGACATTTCTACCACCGTCCAACCTCTATTTTTGGACAGCCAGCAGAAGGCGAAGAATAGCGGGCTGAAAAAAAAGGAAAAAACTTGAATTGGCTGTGGCTCAAAAAACCGGTACCAAAATGGCTTGCCCTGGCAAGTGGAAACATGGAGACCCAAAACCTGCGGTTTGCCCCTCCCATCGTTTGATTTTGAGCCACACCCAACTTGAGCGAGGCGGGAACGAAAGCATTGTGCGAGAGAGAAGTGAATGCAATGCGCGAAGAGGAAACAAGTGACGGAAGCGCAAGAGATCGCGAGGTTTTTTGCTACGGCATTGCGGCGTCGCGCAGGAGCTGTTGCGTGACGCAGCAACGGGAGGCCCGCAACGAGGCCCGAAACGCGCGGATTCGCAGCGGGAGCCGCTGAAAAGTGCCGATTTGGTGCTTTTCGGCCTCGCTCGCGCTCTCCCGTTGCGTTTTCGGGCGCCCGCGGCCCAAGAACAGCTCCAAGCCCCCCATTCCGCTTTTAAAAAAATTGGCCCGAGGCATTTGGGCCAGCAAAGCTTAGGTAGAAGAACTCCGGCTAGTGCACGGCCTAGCACGGCAACGGGAGAGCCCGAACGAGGCTCGAGAGCACCAAATCAACACTTTTGGGCGGCTCCCGCGGCGAATCTGCGTGTCTCGGGCCTTGTTCTGGGCCTCTCGTTGCAGTTTTGCGCGCTTGCCGGTCGACGGCCCAGAACGGCAACGGCGCTCCTGTGCGCTCATGCTGCTGCTTGAACCACTGCGCCGCGAGCTCCCCGGGTTCCGTGGCGAATCTGCGTGTTTGGGGGTCACGCTTGCCGGCCGACGGCCCAGAACGGCAACGGAAGAGCCCGAACGAGGCTTGAGGGCACCAAATCAGCACTTTTGGGCGGCTCCCGTGGCGAATCAAAGAAGTGTGCTCTGCAAAGAAGCGCAAGTGTGCTCTGCAAAGAAGTGTGCTCTGCAAAGAAGCGCAAGTGTGCTCTGCAAAGAAGTGTGCTCTGCAAAGAAGTGTGCTCTGCAAAGAAGTGTGCTCTGCAAAGAAGTGTGCTCTGCAAAGAAGTGTGCTCTGCAAAGAAGCGCAAGTGTGCTCTGCAAAGAAGAGTGCTCTGCAAAGAAGCGCAAGTGTGCGTGTTTCGGGCCTCGTTCTGGGCCTCCCGTTGCAGTTTTGCGCGCTTGCCGGCGGACGGCCCAGAACGGCAACGCGAGAGCCCGAACGACCAAGCGAGAGCACCAAATCAGCACTTTTGGGCGGCTCCCGTGGCGAATCTGCGTGTTTCGGGCCTCGTTCTGGGCCTCCCGTTGCAGTTTTGCGCGCTTGCCGGTCGACGGCCCAGAACGGCAACGGCGCTCCTGTGCGCTCATGCTGCTTCTGCTGGCGTGGCGCGGCCCAGGCTCGAGCCGCAGACCTTTGCGCAAAAAACCGCTTGCTTGAACCACTGCGCCGCGGACTCCCCGGGTTCCGTGGCGTTTTGCGCGCTTCCCGGCCGACGCCCCAGAACGGCAACGAGAGCACCCGAACGAGGCTTGAGGGCACCAAATTAGCACTTTGGGCCGTTGCAGTTTTGCGCGCTTGCCGGCCGACGGCCCAGAACGGCAACGGGTGGCGAATCTGCGTGTTTCGGGGCCTCCCTTTCCAGTTTTGCGCGCTTGCCGGCCGAGAGGGCCCGAACGAGGCGTGAGGGCACCAAATCAGCACTTTTGGGCGGCTCCCGTGGCTCTGCGTGTTTCGGGCCTGCCTCCCGTTGCAGCTTTGCGCGCTTGCCGGCCGACGGCTCAGAACGGCAACGGGCTTGCCGGCCGACGGCCCAGAACGGCAACGCGAAAGCTCGAACGAGGCTCGAGAGTAGCGAATTTGCGTGTTTCGGGCCTCGTTCTAGGCCTCCCGTTGCAGTTTTGCGGCCGTCGACCGGCAAGCGCGCAAAACTGCAACGGGAGGCCCAGAACGAGGCCCGAAACGCGCAGATTCGCCACGGGAGCCGGGGCTCACCCGTTGCCGTTCTGGGCCGTCGGCCGGCAAGCGCCCAAAACTGCAACGGGAGGCCCAGAACGATGGCCCAGAACGGCAATCCGTGGCGAATCTGCATGTTTGGGGGCCTCCCGTTCCAGTTTTGCGCGCTTGCCGGCCGACGGCCCAGAACGGCAACGGGAGAGCCCGAACGAGGCTTGAGGGCACCAAATCAGCACTTTTGGGCGGCTCCCGGCGAATCTGCCTGTTTCGGGCCTAAGGCCGAGAACAGCAACAGGAGAGCCCGAACGAGGCTCGAGAGCACCAAATCAGCACTTTTGGGCGGCTCCCGTGGCGAATCTGCTGGCCTCGTTCTGGGCCTCCCGTTGCAGTTTTGCCCGCTTGCCGGTCGACGGCCCAAAACGGCAAATTTCTGCGCAAAAGAGTTGCAACGGTACAGGCTGTAGCGTTTCAAATCGGTCAGCTTGGCAGGCAAGTCCAAGCCCCCCATTGCGATTTTAAAAAAAAATGCCCGGGGCATTTGGGCCCGCCCCCCACACCCCCTGATTGCTAAACAAAGCTTAGGTAGAAGAACTCCAGCCAGTGCTTTCGTGATTAGAGACCCCTGCGGCTTCCACCCCACGAGCCTCCAGTAGCTTCGGCCGGTCTCGGCACCCATCCACAGCGATTACTTGCATGCCGGCCTCCGGCTGGCTCTGGCAAAGAGGGATCCACAAGCCGCAAGAGCGGGGACTCTGTTCAGTGACCCTGGGGAAAAAAATTGGAACCCTTGTTGGGGAAGACCGGATTTTTAGTGGGGCAGCCACCAAGAAAAAGGGAAACAGAATAGGTGCCACTGAACAACTGAGGTGAACTTTCGGCAAGAGGGCGGCACTTCCCCCTAACACCAAATCAGCCGCATCCCCGAAGCGCACCCCCCCAATATACTCGGCTGGGTCAAAAGCATATGCCTCCGAAATACCACTTCAGCTAGGTGTGCACTGGACCTCAGCAAAAGGCCCCCGACCAAAAATGACATTGTGGTCTATCCCCAACTAACAACTTGTTGCATCCGTTGTCACACCTCAGATGCCCAGTGGCCAGGGGAAAAAAGGGGCATCCGTTTTTTGGTTGGTTGAGTTTTAAAGGGAACTCTTCCCCAAAAAAGCAGAAAAGGGCACCACTGGGCAACTGGGACACACCCTGATCAATTGGTCGTCTCTTAATCACTCGACCCATGGCTTTAAGGAGGCCTCATCTTTGCAACTGCATCTTGCACACGTCTTTTTTCCCCCAAGCATGGAAGCCTTCTGTTTGTCTCATGCGCCATGGGCACCATATCGAGGTTCCAATGGAGCCTCAACGTTGGATTCGGAGAAACGGACACGAGGCAGGACTTGGTTTTTAGGGTCGCCAGGCCAAACCTTCCCTGGCGCTGCCTTTCCTTGAACACGGTGGACGCGGTTTCTCCCACACGACTTGCTCCTTGCTCTTTCGGACCCCTTCTACTTTAGCCCTTGAGTTTCAGAACCTCAGCTTCTGCTCCCAAAAAATAGGTTTGCTTCCGGTCCATAGTGAAACCTTACGCATCTGCGACAGCTGCAAAAGAGATCCCAGGCACCTCAAAACACATCTGAGGTACGCAGAAAAAATCATATTGTTCAGTGTCTGTCCCATATTTGGCATATCCTACCCTACAGTACAAAATCCATGTTTCTCGGTTGCTTTCTGCTCCCCTGCTGAAAGAGTGAATAACTTTTAGTGGTTGAATGGATTCCCATTAGTTGGCAAAAAGTTAAAGTACAAACATCCCTTGGCAAAATGCAACAAAGGTTTGGAGGAGACACCCGAACACCGGTGAAGAGGGGGGTCCACAGGGGGGGTCAAGCTCACATCTCACCGGCGCGCCTTGAGACCGGCGACGTCTGCCAGACCCTGCGCAGACATCACCACCAGGCCTATGGCCTGTCGATGCCACGAGCTTTCTGGCGTAAAGCTGTGGAAAAAAATCCAGGGGTACCTTCCCCATTCTTTCCAGGGATCCTTCTTTCTGGAAAACCTCCGGAAACCCAGGGAAAACGGATCCGGTTTTTGGAAAGAACCATGGTTGAAAAGAAGGAATGAACCCCAGAAAAATGGATTCCGGTGTCCTTTTTGGATCAGGTGAAAATGGGAGCCTCAAACCAAAACACAGAGCCATGTCTGGGGTTGGCTCCACAAGTAGTCCCCCCAAACAAGACCCATTCGCGCCCAGAGTCGACAAAATAAAGGGATCTGGGGTCCCTTAGGGGGTTCCTGGTTACTGTTGACCTTTCTACAAAACGTTTAACTTTTTGTTGGTTTAAGGGAAAACTCCTTGATTTCCCAACAAGTTAAAGTCTAAAGCTCCAACCCAATAGCAATCACCGAATCATGCGAAACCGACCAAAAGCCAAAAAAAAACGGATCTGCACCTTAGTCGGTGGTTCAAGGTCAAGCCAAACTTCAAAGTTTGTTCACCCAAATGGCTGGAACCCACGCACCTCTGTTCAAAACCCCCGGTGTCTCTCTCTCATACAACGCCCATGGGCGCTGGAAGATGCTCCATGAAAACGGGCTCCAAGAAACAAGGAGATGGCACTGGAGTTTCAAGTAGCACCAAGCTAAAGAGCCAGGGCTGGATGGGGTTACCCGCCACAATTGGGGCTATTTCGTCTAGATATTTTGCTTACCCGCCACCCCAGATTCAGACACCTCTTGGCTAACATTGTGTCCCCGTTTTCGAGGAACCCTTCATAGTTCTCGAAAAGGTATCGGGGAGAGACTGGAAACAAGTGTACCACTTGTAGGGTATTAAATGCCGGGAGGTACCAAAGTGTTCAAAGGTACCCAAATCCGAATGAAAGCCCAGTGATCTTAAGTGACACTTGCTTGAACCACCTGTTCCCTGGAAAGGTGGGGGAAAACCCCAAGACCTGATACATCCCCAGTGAAAGCCCTTGGTAGTCGCGCGCCTCGTGCTCCGGCGCTGTGAGGCACAGCCCCAGCGGCAGCCCGGCCCGGCGGTGCAGCTTTCTGGGGAGCTGGGCGAGCTTTGGGCGCGAGGCCGTTTTGGTCGAGCCCCCCACAGCTGTGGGAAATGGAAAAAACGCGAATCTGTAGAACAAAAGGGCCTAAAGACTTTACCACCCCCGTGGGAAAAACAGGGGAGTCCCAAAAGTATCACAGAAGTGGTTGGATAAACCCCGAGTGATCCCACAACCCTGCTGTGGATGGTGGCGAAATCCACTCATTTCGCACCACCGTTCAGAAACCCTGGTTTCTGAGGATTCATCTGTAAATACCCACAAACACTGGTTTCAACCATGGCTTCAAAGTGGTGCAGGATTTTGTCCATCCACAGTATGAAGCAACCCCCCGTATGAATAAACCAAATGGTGAGGCAACCACGCCAGATATGGGGTCAACATGAATCCAAAGCCACCAAAACCGCGGCCAAACCCCATCATACTGTGGATGGTTGCGAAATTCATTTCGCACCGCGAAATGACACCATGGTTGAAACCAGTATTTCTTGGTATTGATAGGGGAATCATCAGAACCAGGGTTTCTTAGGTGGTGCAGAATTTCATCCATCCACAGTATGATGGGGTTTGGGTCACCGTTTTTGGGTGGCTTTGGATTAATGTTGAGCCCACACCTGCCGTGGTTACCTCGCCATCTTGGCTTTGGTGGGGATGTATCACTCTTGGAGGCCCCCACCCCCCCATTAATAAGATGGTCAACCTACTGCACTCATGAAGAACCATGGCCCATCGGTTTGGAAAACCCTGGGGAAACCATAGTAAATACCTATTTCAGTCTTGTGGCGACAAAGAGGGAGGAGTTGGAGCAGGGGGGAGGTAAGTTAAAACCATCACCACAGTTTCCATGGTTGTAATCTGTCGTCGGTTCTGCGTTTAGGGATTGTTTTCGGGTGCGTTTTTTTTGAGGGGACCCCCCAGAAAGGAAGCAAACCGCCATCGCAACTTTTATCGTTTAGACATGGCAGCTCTCATGAGCGGCCGGCGTGAGAGCGTGAGGCCACTCCTTACACCGTTCACAAGAAACAGTGAGGAGATGCTCACCAAATACAAAGTACGCTTTGTTTGCCGTGTGATACCAAAGGGAATTCCGAATTGAAAAGTCATGGAAATGCCCATGTAGTATGTCACAATAAAGAGGCCCCAAAAATGGTGGCTAGGGGAAAGACGCACACCCTAATTTCCATCGAATTCACATCAATTGGCGCCCAGCCGTCGGGATCTTACACTGTCCCCAACAGCGGGGGGGGGGATCCCTTTTGGGTTTTTTGCAAATGGAGCCCGGGGGGGGTGTCTTTTGCTCTGCCTTTGAAGCAATACCTCAAACCCGACACACCTCTAGGTAACATGTGTGTGTGTGTGTGTGTCTACGGTGCCAAAAGGAAAGCATCTATCTTTGGCGAACCCCTTTTGACACATCCTGATGGTGGTACTCGGGGCTCAAGGACCCCTTTTGCAGATTCAGCACTGGCTCAGATCCCGTATCCACGGCCAACTGGCTTCTTTCTGTTCACTGAGCCGGCGGCACAGTGTGGAGCGACGGGCTTGTGAAACCTGCACGGGATCTCTGGCGAATTTGCGACCAATTGGGAAACTAACCCCGCCACCCACCTTTTGGATGGTCACAGGGAATCTCAACGGAAACCTACCCCCCAACTCCTACTACCCACCTGTTTTATTCTCGCGGGAAGACCCAATTCACCAGCAGGGGTACCTTTTTGGTTTACTCCATGATAGACTTCAAGCAAGTCCCTTTGTGGGGACATCAACCACCCCCGAGTTTCTTGTCCCCCTGCCTAGCCCCCATGACATTCGTCCTGTTTGAATCTTCTTTCTGGCGTCACTCTGGAACGACCCTCGCCGGGCCTAAGGTCACAGCACCTTTCATCTCCAGCAGCACCGACAAGATCCGGGCCGCGTCCTTGCCGCGACAGACGGGCGAGGGGTTCGGGATGCACAGGGCAAACAAGGTTCACATGGGGTGCCGTGCCCATGTGATGGCACCGTATTTGGGGGTTGGACACCACAGTGCGATAGTCAAATGTGGAGTATGGTCATGGCAGGTGTCCTGGGGGAAATCCATGGGTTTCTCTGCTGATGATTAAACCACCAGGTAAACTAGGAATCGCCATCGATCTTTCTACCAAAACCACCAAAAAGGACATGGTCATGGCTCCGAGAGTCGGGCCACGATCATCGCACATATGGGCTGAGGGGAACCCTCAGAATAAGTGTCCTTTTGCTTTTGGTGTCCCTTCCAAACAAGCCCCAAACGGGTAAACACCACGGGGCGAAGTGCATTGTAGAAAGAAACAACCAAAACTTCCGTAGAGCTTCGCAGAATGCCGTCAGTGTCGCACCCTCGATCGTTTGCGGAAGCAAATATGTGCTTCGAACATTGACGCGGCAGCTTCAGCGGCGTGGCTCCTGTGCGCAAGCCTGGTCCACCCGCCACTTAAAGTGGTCCACCCCTTGCTGTGTCTGGTGTATGATATCAACCCCTGACCAAACAAATAGATATTAACCATGGAAGACCTGGCTGTTCAAGTTATACACAAAAAGAGAGAATATTGGCATGAACGGGATTTGCTTATGCAGTGACTCTGCCCACGCCGTCAATTACCTCACGCAAGCGGCTTGCCCCATCAGAGTCTCCAGTCGTTTTTGCACGAGGTTCCGTCGGGCAGTTTGCTACATGGTGACCTCCTTTTGGCGCCAAAGGGTTTCCAGACTTTTTAGATGTGACCACGCCTTTTCTGACCTTCAGCTGGTGCCAAAAGCGATATACAGAAGGCCTGCACACGGATGCGTTGAGTGAAGTACTGGGTCCCCCCCAAAAGTACGATTTGGAGAATCTGATTTGGGCGATCTTTTCTGGGTTCCAACAAATGGGTTCCAAACGGATGCTGGGGAAGGCACGCGTGATGGGGGGTCCGTAGTTTGGACCGACTGAAATGGGCCCAGAACCGGCACCCAGGATCGGGAGAGGCTCAAGTCTCAGGACTGTCCAACTGCAAAAATTCGGGCACCGAGGATTCATTCCGACTCATCTAGGGGTGTCCCATAGATGGAATCCGGATCACTCTTTGGGGAAGCACCCCAAAAAGAGAGGTTGCTTGATCTGTCGGCTGAGCCTGGTGGGGGAACGGCCTGCTCCATGGGCAATAGGAAATGCAAAGTGGCGAGCATGTTTGCTCGATCAGCTCACGTGAGTGTTCCTTGCGAGGGCCTTGAAGGGGGCAAAGTACTTGGTGAGTTGACGAGAGTCACAACCCAAAGCCGTTCTTGTGAGTCCCCCTTCCTTGAAAATATCACCAGGGTGAACCACTTACAGGCCTCCCATGCTTACATCACCCAAACGAGGAAACTCGGCATGGGCCAAAGGAAATATGAGAACCCAAGGGGAGATGGCCGCCATCCCTTCACGCGGAGCTTCTTCCGGCCTGTGTCTCGTCCACCGAGCGCAGTCCGAGCCCGGGCCGTAATTTCCTCGACTGGGAAGGGTGGGAAATTGGTTTTCAGGGCAAAGACTAGGTCCAGTAGAGAGGTTAGAATAAGGGTACCCGATGGGTGTTCGAGCTGTACAAGTATGGAACATGATCTGCGCCATTCTTATTGAAAGCAAGACCGACATCATCTGAAGTGTTCCACGTTTCATATACATGTGCACTATCCTCTTCATATGCTTCCAACTTTGCCACCAAATGCGCTTACAGGGATGCCCCGCGACATGTCGTGATTTTGCAAGTGAAGCCAACAGACATAACACAATCTTTCGCCAGCGACCAACACGCCTGGCATTCGTGCGGCATTAGCGATTTACGTGCTTTGCATCCTGCTTGTGCGTTGTCCACTACCATAGGTCTGCATTGTAATATTATGTGGCATTCAGTCAGATGCAGATCCATCTGTGTGGTTCATTAAGCATGAAGACGGTACTGTCGCTGAGATGTTCTACGTTGACAATGCACTGGCCGTGGCCAAGTCTGCACAACATGCTGATGCAACTGTGTCTCTCATTGGGGAGTGTTTCAAAACCCGTGCTTTGGACAGCATATGAAGGACACAATCTGACTGCCAGGAACCATACGGGGCCCGGGTTTTTTCTAAACCCTGCGTGGGGGGGGGGTTGGACCACAAACTGAGTGGTGTCCTTTCGGGTTCAAGATTATGGGGTACCAGCATGGGGGGATCTCGCGGACAATTGAACCGGCCCAGAGATTTCCGTCTTAAGGAAACAAGGAGATCAGTTTACGCTAAACATCGTCGAATTCTCCCACGGAACACTCCTCCCCCCAGATCTAACTTCAAAAGACATCCACATTCAGGAGAATGGGGTTGGGCGATTCAACCCGTTAAACATGCCTCTAGTTTAGACCTGCTTTCGGTCCCCCTTGAAAGATGGCCAGGATAGGGTGGATTAAACACATGCCCAATCCTGAAAACCCATGGCGGGTCAGTTGATCCATGGGATCCGAATCGGGGGAAACACCCAAGAGAACCCACCCGCTTGACTTTAGTACCAGGGTCTTAGCAGACGGTTCAAAGAGAAACACCAGAACACCTGCAAGCCGCGTTTCTACACTTGTGGTCTGAGGCTCGTAGTATCCCTCTTGTACGGTGCACTGTGGCTCACGGTGGTGGACAACTACCCGAAATCTGTGATTCCAAATATGACTCATTCCCATGACTTTGTCAGGGATCTCAGTTGGTATCGCAGAAAGTCGCCTAAAACCCTCTGGATGGACGAATAATCCAGAACGGATGAAACCCTACAGGAAAATAAAAATATTAAAACAAGGTTGATGAACGACCTAGTAACCGGAGCTGTTTTCGGATTGTCCGTCAGTAAGTTCCAAGAGGGGTCCAAAAAGTGAGGTTGTGGGTTCCCATTCCGGAAAGCGAGCCCCAAAAAACTAGGCCATAAGCCAAGGGTTCTGATGACTTTGACCCCAAACCGTCGAATACTTGCCTCCCCCCCACAAAACCCCCGGCCGAGTGATTCCTAGTTCCCTGATTTGACTCCCCCCCCAGATTCCCAGTGATTCCCAGTTCCCTGACTTGATCGACCCCGCCGTCGATGTCGGTTTCGCTCGCTCGAGTTTGGCGCCTGGAAGGCTCCGCCCACTTGTTCCACTTCGCCGCTTGGCCGTTGGGCAAGACTTTGGCCACGATGGGAATCCTCGGAGAAAGACTCGTTGTCCGTCCGGACCCGCAGGGAAATGTTTCGGCTCCGGTCCCCGAGAAGGGCAAGAATCTCGGCTTTCCTTTCAGGTTGCCCGGATAAAACAAGAAGCGGAAAACACGAATCAAGAAACAAAACAGGTATGGCACCGTCAACCATTTCACGCCCATGGGTTGTTTCCCTTCTGCTTCTTCCCCTGTGACTCTCAACCGAAAGGAGTCCGCATCGGAGAACCTGCCAGATGAGGACCTTCCCCCTCGGACTACCGGGAGGGCTCGACCGAACCTCAAGCGGCTTGTTCGGTGACTTAGCCCTTGTAAGGATTTAGGGCTTGGCCAATCCTGGAACGGATTGGCCTGCTTAGGAACAGGAAGCCTTTCAGAAACCAAAGGGGTTAGAGGATTGCCTTTGAATAGCTCTCTTGTGTACACAGGAATCTCTCAAGAAAGCAATCCCCAATTAAGAGGTACCCCCCTTAATGCCTTAATGATACCTGGTGGGTTCCAGTCAACAAACAGGGTTCCCTATATGCCCGCCTTAAACATCACCCCACCAAAAGGAAAGTCAAATAAAAACGGCAACCTAAAAGGTGATCCCTAAAGCTAGGAATGTGACAAACAGGAATCTGGCATCCCCCTGGAAGAGAGCAATATCAATTGAGCGGTACCCCCTTTCCCAAAAGGTCTCACCCAAATGGGAATATAAGGAACCCTGACCAACAGGACAACTAGGTCCTCCAGTGGACAGGTTAGAATAAGGGTACCCTTTTTTCCGTAGTCTATTTGAGTAGGGAAATCCTCCCCAAATGAAACGGTAAAAGGGCACTGAGGGACCTAGACAAACAGCCATCGCGCCAAGCTGCGTGGGGTTCGTGGTATCCAGCTCCAATCCAAAGGTGCCCTCGGTCAGCCGAGTCATGATGGCTACTGCCCCCCCAAGTGCTTCGATTTTGGTCGGTCAGGCTGCAAAATCGTAAGCTCCCAATAAGTTTTGAAATCTAAAGATTCAACCAAACTGCCGCCAAGTGTCGCAGGGTACCCGGTTTCAGGCTGATTGAAGAAGAAATCGAAAGGCAAACCACCTCGCTTCTTTTGGCGAGTCCCTCTTTCTTGACACACACACACACACGCACAGACGCACACACACGCGCACTGTACCCAATTGATAAACTCGGAAAAAGAACAACGCTTGCTTCCGCAAGAAACATGTCTTGCGCAAGAAACAAGGGCTCCCAGCTGGTTTTTGGACAGCTGGCGTGGGTTGTGCTTGAACCCTGAAACCCGCCCTCGGGTGCTGGAACCGTCTGCTGCTGAGGTGCGAAATCCACTTTCCACACCTGCTAGCGGGAAGCTTGGTTTAGGCCAAGATGTCCCTCTCCCCACTGACACGGGGGGTGCAAAAATCAACGCAAGTGGCATCTCCCACCCTTTTGCACCTTCCAGAACCCGACAACGCCCGGACCCACTGCCATGGAAGTTTGATGAGTAACCCCATTTCCCAATTGTGTTTTGGTGAATGTGCCCCATGTCATGCCTTTGCTCAACACAGTAGATGACAGTACATAAAGGTCATGTTCAAACCCCAAGCAAGCTAAACCGATTCCTGCAAAACCGACCCCCAAATCAACCGCTAAGATTGTCCACTCGCCTCTCAACCTCTTTATGTTCATCCAAACTCGAAAGTTTCAATTTTGCTTTGGGGCGCCTTGCGGGTCACATCGGGGACTGGAGAACGGGTTTAGCAAAGCCCCCCCCCTCTTGGTCGTTCAAGCCTGAACCCCAATATTTGTTTAATTCGTCTTGGTTCATTGTCAAGGGCCAAGAGGGGTTCCTTTTGTTGCCCGGGCCAAGCAAGCGCTGCGCCCGCTTTTCTCCAGCCGTCGCTGGTCGCCTGGCACATGGACTGAGCTGCCGGAATCGACAAGAATCGAAATCCCCCGCGTGGATTTGGGGCAACACCCCAATATCACACACTGGGTACATGAAGGCAAAACCTAAAGGGCAAAAACGGCGAACTGGTCAATTGCTCGAGTCTGATGCAAAAACAAGGTCTACCCAAATCCATGTCCACAATCCGAAGGGTGGACGCTCGCACCTGTGGCTGGAAAAGTGCCTGGAAACCTTCAACACGGGTTTGGAAGCCAAGGACACCAAGCCTTTGAATACTATTTTCTGGAGGTGGCTTTTTCAAACGTCATCAACAAGTTGGAGACACTTCCACCGGAATGGGCGCGCCTCGTTCGCGCTCAACTCATGCCTCAGCGCAGAGGGGCTGCAGGTGTGAAAGTGGACAGCAAAACAATGTCCTTTTTTTGTGGGAATGCAAAGGGCATGATTAAACTAAAGCAACAAGGGGTTCTGACATCTACTTTGACCCAATTGTATCTCTGCGGCTGGGCAGTTTTGGGACCGGGAATTCTCCTGGCAAACAAAAGGCCGGACTTCCAAACATGTGCAACCCGCAGCCCCTAGAGAAAGCCAAGCCACATCCCCAAAAAAACCATGGGAAGGAACTTCCTGCAAAGGGATATTTGAAGGTTCTGAAAACCTTTCTCGGCAGTTGTGTGGGTCCTAACCAATCCACCAATCCACCTTTCTTACATTCCCGGGTCGCTTTTGAACGCAAACCTTAGCTCGTTAGAGGATCCTAGGCGTTAGATGGTGTTGGATCAAACATCTCTCACCCAGAACCCAACGACTGCTTGGTGGACAGCTTGTATTGGTTTTGGACATGGGAAACAGAAGTCGTCGGAAGGTGCTGGACGTTCCCGTGCGATCTCTCTCCCTATACCTCTCTCTCTCTCTCTCTCTCTCTCTCTCTCTCTCTCTCTCTCTCGTGAACATGAAAATGGCTTTTCAATTGCGCCGCGCAAGTTAATCCCGCTACTGTTTATATTCTTGAACAACCAGGTGTCCCATGGCAAATGCCTCCTTTTTCGTCACTTGACTTTGAGGGGCCAGAACCTTCCTCCCAAAGCAATTCGCCCATTCCGTTGCTGTCAAGAAGATAGGATACTTGCCGTGCAACCAAAGGCTTGCGAGGCCTAAGGCCCTTTGGCTTTCAACAAAAATCATCCCCAACAGCAGCACGCCCGCTCGTGGAACCCTCCTCGGAATCGTGTCTTGCGTCCCCGGAATGCTCATGGAACCCTTGGGAAACCACTGGGTGCCAAGTCAGGGTGCTAATTGCACATGATGTGTGATCAGGACACAAACTGGGGGTGTTGGGTAAATTTTCCAGACCCCGTAGTGGCCCACCCAGCTTCACACTAAATGATAGGTTAAAGGGAAACATCCCCGTTTTCTGATTTTGCCGAAAAGGGTCGGTTCCTTTGGGCTTCCCTTTACACACAGAAAAGGGGCGGGGCAATTAATGAAACCCCCCGCCCCATCACCCATCACCCACTGAGCACCCCAGCGCAAGGATCGCCTGACTCTTCGATGTTCTGGCGTCTGCGCCTCATCTCCTCCTGACATCCGCAAATCGGCGCTTGACTCTGGTTGTGTTGCTGCCCTCCCACCCTTTTCACATGGAACCTGACGTTTGGGGGTCCTGGAAGACGGCTCTCCTTTAAAGGGACCCCCGAAACCACGAGAGAAGACACGATTTGGCTGGCCCCCATCCCGGCTTTGACACACACCCAAATGTGCGTTTCTCGACATAGGAACCCACCCCAAACAGATGGCAAGTGCTTCCTTGTGGCCTCTCTTTGAATATCAACAGTTCATGACCATCCCGAACCTCAAGCAAGCGAGTCTTGATACTTCATGGCTTTGTCTTCAGAGAACCTCCACAATCAATAATCTATGGTTACCCTTCGGCTAAACCAATTTGTCTTGAGAGAAGCTCCAAAATCAATGGCTGCAATTCGGTTCCCTGAAACCAACCCCAAAAAACGCATCCCGCGCCCATATGGCCCACTAATTGCCCACTTGCCGCCTCTGAGACGTAGTGGTCCAGCACCAAGAAGTCATTCGGCCTTCCTCAGATGGACAGCGAATTAACCACCGGGATCGCGAGGGAGGTTTCGCTTTGGTTCGAGATTTAATTTGGGAATTCGTTTTTGCTTCCCAAAACAAATGGCCCTCCTTTCCCTTTTGCCAGCAACTTGTGGCAAACACGGCGCAAAACTTGGCGATCTATGTCTGAAACCCGCGTGATTCGCCAGTTAGGTCTGTCGCAACATCGGGGAAGCCCAAATGGTCCCGGCCCCCGGGTCACCCAAACGGCGTTCTCCACAAGCCAGGCCCAGCGCCCGGAATGATCCCCGTCCTCCCAGCTTTGTCAAGTTCCCGAGTTTCTCTGGAAAGCTGCTCCCTGTTCCAACCACCATGGAAAGACTTGGGTTTAATATAACCACCAATTGCCGAGTGGTTCATCCAACCCAAGAAGCAGCCCTGAAACACGTGGACAGGGTTTCCATCGTCAAGGCAACCAAAAAGATTGGAGTTTCCACATTGGTTCCCTTGAAAGCAAAGATAATCCTCCAAAGAAGGCCACAACCAAATGGGTATCACAATCCTTCTCGTGCGCTGGTGCAACGCGTGCAACCACCTAAATTCACTGATTTACGAGTTCCAACTGCCCCAACAGCACAGATCTTGCGGCTCCAACCATCAAACTGATCCAAGCGTCTGCAGGCGTCGCCCATGACAGACAAGGGCATGCTGAGATGTTGATGCTCCACCGCCTCCGAAGACGTGCTCCAAACCAACCGACACCCCTTGGACCCCAGTGCTTTGGGGGCGACCTGGAAAAATGCTCAAATTCCGAAGCCCGGCAGGAATTCGTTAGTTGTACCCGTTCACCCGGCTGCAATGTCGGAATTTCCGGAAACATAGTCGGGCGACGGGTGGCATTTGCAGGTGCCCCGAGGCGCTTCGAACCATGAACTCAAAGCCCCTTGCCTCGGCACTGAATATAGATTCTAGGGTTACCGGTTTGGGGCCCAAAAGGAAACAACAAACCGTCCAAGTGCGCTGCTCGCACATTTTCACGCTTGAACAGCCACACTGCGGATGCAATAGATGTTAAACCCTCAAACTGACCGATTGAATTCTTCACCCCCCTCTGCGTGTTAAAGGGGCCTTTCACAAAGCAGCCAAACAGAAACACAACAGGGGGAAGAACGGTCGGGTTTCATCTGTACATGCAACTCCGTGACGGGTGCGTTTTCAACGCCACCGCCAACTTGACTGTTGGCCACTGCCTGTACTGCCGCCCCAGCTGCTCCAGCCACCGCTGTACCAGTCATCCCACTCCGTGCTGCCCCACTGCTCGCCCTCGCGGGCGGGAGAAGCATAGGAGGTGTTGGAGGCGTAGCGCGCCGCATTGCGGGCAAGATGCCCGCTCTCACTGCGTGAGAATTCGACTGAATTCCACGCGGCCCGCTCATTTTGCCTGAAGACCCAGTCAAGCTCTTGCTGAAGCTCACCTTCGCTTCGGCCGGTCAGGTGAATCACCCCATTCCAGCAACCGATGCTCCAAGGCTTGTCCTGATCCAGCACGATGTGAACGAAGGCGCGGGGGGAGTATGGCATACCTTGGAACATAATGATCCAACGCGACGTCAGTGCATCTCTCAGCTGCAGGACCATGAACTCGAGCTCCATCTTTACGTGCGCGAGCCTTGCGATTCGCGACTCGGATGTTGATCCTGAACCAACACCAAGCGCACGCTGAGCTCCATGCGAAGCATATCCGCCTCACGGCGGCCGGCCTCAATCATCCTCACTCTGTATTGCAAATCGAGCTCATAGCGGTCGATGAGAGAATGATAGCCGTTCTTCAGAGCAGACTTCAGCTTCTTTCGGCCTTCCTGAATCACGGCGCTGTCCGGGGAGTTCAGGCCTCTGACGATGCTGATACGATCCTCCTCGCGGAGGTCGCTTGTACCCACTGACGCTAGGACCTCTGCAGTAATGTGCGTGCTGAGTCCCATCTTCTTGAGGAGGTTGGAGCGCTGCTTGATATAGTTGCGCTGCTGATCCTTCAAGAGGCGTTGGTTGAGGGGAGAGAACTGTCCGCACGTAGTGCAATTGACCTGCCCCTCAAAGATATCATTGTTGCACACAGGACACTTGGCGACCTTCATTTCCAAGTTCTCCATGGGATTGAATGTCTTCTGCCTCTTCGCATCCCCTTGCGGGGCGCAAGGTGAGGCAGCGTTGGTCCTTGTCGTGGCAATTCTTTCCAAGGCCATGCTGCGGTCGTCGGCAACCGCCTGCTCACGCGTCATTCCCAAGCTGTCATCTTCGGCAGATACTGCTGTAGCATCTGCTTCTGATTGCTCAGAGCGTGTGTACCATACGTCTCCGTTGGTGGCGTCCAGAACTG